GAGCTAAGAGCCCTTGACAAACCATCAGCCGGACTTGCCGACACTGACTGATATGCAGTGCTTACTAATTTAAGTCTCTCTGTTAAATCTGAAAGATGAACAATGATATTCTCAGTGAGAAATTTTTAAAAATTATAAAAATATAACTGAGCAACCCACTATTCAAGTTTTAAGCTGATGAGTCCCCAAACTGATTTTAGCATGAAAGACAACTTAGCAGCACCAAATGTTCAAATGTCTACTTAAGCAAGCTCAACAGAAAGCTACTATGTATGTAACTTGTTCACATTCACTCAGAATCACAGAAATAGCTTGCTTTGTGCTAGAAATATTGACAAGGGAATTTTTCCTTTAAAGCTTTTACCTTGGAAGGCCATGATCATCAGAAAGTTTTGCATCTGGTGATCATTTTCTTGTGTGACTCACATTTTAAATCCTTCAGTGTTAACAAAAATTACATACTTCAAAGTACTTGAGCTCACTTATCACTTTAAAAGTTGTTTTATTCTCAGATGTTATACAAAATGTAATATGTATAGTACTGTTGGTTCTATGCATTTTTATTGTATTACACTTAAAAGGAAAAAATAATTTTGAAAGGAATTGAAGTTTAGCACTAATAATCTTCATCTAATCTCTCTTTGTCAGGGGAATGGTACTAAGAGTCCACTCAGAGTGTAGGGTCAAAATAGAATGCTATTAATAACAAATCCTCCCTCCCTGAAATAATACCCTAACATAGGCTGAGACATGAAAGACATTTCAATCCAGTAGGGAAGATCACAGTGAAAGTTTCTGTGTTCTCACACATTTACAGTATTTAACAAACTGATTAATATTAAAACATTACCTAGTAAAGAACAAAAGTCTTATATGGCAGGCTCTAAAAAGATATAATGATATAAAATGATGTAATTATTCTGTGTTGATGGCTCCTATCACATGCACGCTCAGTGACATTCCCCTCCACAACACTCTTCCTACAGCACTCGGATGGAGAGGCAAGGAGACGTCTTTAGTTGGCCCGGGAACTTCCGGGCCAACTCCTCCACGGTTAGCAGACCCAGTGACAGCATGTTTAAAAATTCTGAGACAGAAGTTCACTGCTGTGGTCCCTGTCCCACTAGGAAAGAGTACCCTACAGAAGTGTAATGTGTGAGCTGTGAGGTTCGGGCACAACTGTGCACCATCAGCGATCATCTCTCCTCTGCCAATGAAAACAGGGCCTTTTTTTTTTTATCAGCTAACTCTGGGATCTAGATTATAAATCTCTCCAATTTTTGTCTTTTGTCAGATCCACATGCCATGCTAGTTGTTATTCCTTGTTTGTCCCTTTAACATCTGTTTATCAGAAAAGGTACTGAAGAAATTTTACTGAAATTTGCATCCCATTAACAACCTGTACAAGTTTGCCTGTTAGGGCTGAGTCACCGCAGCGCTCTGATGAAGCGGAGTGGACCGAGCACCGCCTGTGATTGGGAGCCGAGGCCGGCGAGCCGCCACGAGTGGGCACGGGCATCGAGTTCTTGGAAAGGTGCTGTTTCATTCCCATGATCTCCTACTAGTGAGAAATACTGAAATCTGTCTCAGAAATGAGGTAGCCTCCTGTATTATTCTGTATCTGCCCAGAAACTAGTACTAGCCCCACACAAGCAAGTTTGTAACCATTTAAAAGGGACTATTGGTCTTTAAAAGAGGTTTCCCTGAATGCATAAAGGTCAAGCTGATTAAAGTTTTCTATTTAAACTTTGACAGTTTGAAAAGGACAAGATAAGTAAATTACTGTGTCCTAAGTCTCAGGGTTTCTCAGAGTGACTCAAAGATTCACCACATGGGTCTTTATTTACTTTGGCATCGTCTGTAAAGTCATTTACGGTGGTTCAAAGCCTATGATTCTAATATGTATGCAGTTTCCAGACATAGCTATGGGCATCTGGCCCTTTTTGGGCATCTGGCCTTTTCCTTTTGGGTAGTGAACCCTACTATAGTTTATTTATAACACAAAGTATTAGTTTTGCCAACAAGTAAAATAATAAACATGGACATGGCTATACAGCTACAGGGAGCCCAGGAGCTGTTTGTCCACCTTGTTACTCGCTCCTGGCCCTATTCTCAAACTCAGCTCCAGAGTCTTTTTATCGACATCAGAGCATCAATACAAGCCAGCGAGCACGATGTGAGCCAACCAGTGAGTAACACAGGAAAGCAGTGCTCGTCTACTGTTCTCGTCCTCCCTCACCACGTGGCTGCCAGGAATGATGAACTGTTCTTCTGTGTAATAATGACAGAAAGTCTGCCTTCAAAAGAGCTGTACTTCACCTCTTGAGACAACACACTGGAAAAGCAACAACCTTAACCCTAATCCAAACGTTACTTCTTAATGTTTATGCCAGCAGCAACGAAGTTTTCAGTGTTAAAAATGTCCTGAAGAGTGTTTTTCTCCCCCTTTCTTAAGATTTGGCACCTGGGGGCTGGGGATTTAGCTCAGCGGCAAAAGCGCCTGTCTGGCAAGCGCAAGGTCGTGAGTTCGGTTCCCGCTACCGGAGAAAAACCAAAAAAAAAAAAAAAAAAAGATTTGGCACCTGGGATTGAAACCAGAGCCTTCACACTGAGCTATATTCCCAGCACTTTGTAAAGTACTTTCTATCAAGGAAGGGTTCCCAACTCACTGAATTACTCATGCTGGGATGGAATTTACAGTTCTCCTGCCTCAGCCTCACAGAATGGTAGGATTACAGGCTCTAGATTTTTATACATGCTTAAATTGTTTACACATATTAAAACTGGAGCTAAATAGCTGGTGCATTTCTACTCATATCTGTATGAGTAGATTTTACTCTACTGTGGGATTTTACTCTAACACCACTCACCACAGAATGTAATCCAGCTATAGCTTCCTAATGATCAACTGCTAGAATGGCTTCTGACAGGCCCAGGATACTCCAAGTTGTTCTGCAGTGATGCATTCTCAAGACTAAGATTTAATAAAACCTTAATGTAATATGAAAATCAAAGCAAAAATTATTCTTTCTGAAAATATTACGAACTTGGCAATTTTCTTCCTCAAAGCATTTGAACATTTAAATAAAAAAGTTCTACAACCTATCACAAAAGCTAACAATGAGATGAAGCTTAAATTCTTTAATCATGTAATTTAAAAACATGGATTCTACAATCCATGTTTTTCTTCTGAAGACCTTGGGCAAGCTATTCTCTAAGCTAACACAAAACTGGGTTGGATTACTTCTGTGAAACTACAGGGACCAGCTCGGCAACAGTGCAACTGAGTAGGGATGTTAATGGACTCTGAGATTTTGAAGGATCTTAGAGGAAAGTAAAGGAAATGTAGAAAAGAACGAGGAGGAAAACAGAAAAAGAATAAGAAAAAAGGTGCATATGAAAGTGCGTGACAGCCCAGTAGCAGACACTCCTCTGAGCCATCCACACTATAGACTGCTTCCCCCACATCTTGTATCACATTTCCTACTGACTAATATCAAAAAGTATCTGAACATAGGGCTATGAGGAATGGGTATAAATTCAAACATGCTTAATAGCAGTTAAAAAGCTGAGAGTTACCTGAGATAAATGTTTACTATTTATAATTAAGTGTACATTTACTTCCAAAGTGTGGGAAGTTGAAGCTAAAATCATTTAAAGGTTGCTCCATACTTGGGTGGAACCTAAGGGATCATCTGCAAATGTGTATAAACTGATATACACGGATCAGGAAACATAAATGAAGCCTTGTTTCTATTTATGAATGGAATTGGATGCTTGCTATTCGCACTAAGCAATTTTCAGTGGAAACTGCAAGTCTTGTAGCAGGGCTATATAGTAAGTATTACAACTATGATCAAAAAGATTTACAAATTGTGAATAAAGGAATAATAATCTGAGTGGTATATTATTTGAATTGATGGACCCCAACAATACCCAATGAAATGACAGCCAACTAGAATATTTCTGGGAGCAGCTTGGGCATCTGTTACAGCAGTATCTGATCCTGAGTTTCTGTGAGGACTGAACCCTCCCTTTCTTGTTATTGTTGGCCTCAAATGCCAGAACCTTTTGAATATGGGAGTTGCTGAGTCTCATCAGAGATAGGGTGATAAGATTTTTACGAAGTTCTGGCACTGTGTGCTCTCAGAAAAGTGCCTGGATTGAATGAAAATAGTTTATCAGGTCACCATACTACAGCAGTAAGTGTTCAGAAATTGGGATTTGCCGGTTATGCTGGTGATGGCTGAGGCAGGAGGATCACTGTGGCCAGTCTGAATTACACAGTGAGACTATGTCTCAAACAACAAAACAAAACAAAAAACTTTTTAATCTAGAATACAAACCTTTATGGATATTTTTATTTTTTTGGTTTGTGAATTTTAGATTTGTACAACTTTTCTTACCAAATAACACGTTCCTAAATATTTACTTAAAGGACTTTACCATGCTTTATTCTTTTTCTTTCTAACTTTATATGATGATAGTACTCTTCACAAGTATCTACCATAGCAGAGCTTTTTTTTTTAAGAGTTATAGATCCAGTTTGATTCATTCTATTAAACTGAAAGTGACACATGTGTATTATATACCAACATAGTGTGCTGGAATCTAAATTTTTATTACAAATACTTAAGTCACTTTGGTGTTTTAAAGTGAAAACTAACCCAGCAAGACCAAGTGTGGATTTCAGATTTATTGCCTTCCTTTCTCTTGCTCTAAAATTAGCCAAATTTTGGAAGGAAAAACATTTTGGAGGTCCTTACGAAGTTAATTTTCCATTGTAGAATTATCTTGCTCTAAAATGAGGAGTGTCTTTAAAAACCTGTGCTAAAACTGTTTCAAAAATTAGCATTTTAGGGGCTGGAGATTTAGCTCAGCGGCATAGGACCTGCCTGGTAAGCACAAGGTTGTGACTTTGATTCCCCGTACCAGAAACAAAACAAAACAAAACAAAAAAATTAGCATTTTATAATGGCAGGTTTGATGACTGGTCTTAGTTTTTTTTTTTTTTTAACTTTTCAAAAGCACTGATAAGAATGGCAAAGTAATGTTTTAGACAACTGGAGGTGAATCAGTAAAGGACTACAGAGTGTCCTACATTATTATGTCTAAATCCTTTCCCTTTTTTTGGTACCGGGAATCAAACTCAGGACCTTGAGCTTTCCAGGCAGGCGCTTGTGCCACTGAACTATATCCCCGGCCTAAATCCTTTCTTAAAAGCTTAAAATAAGAACATGAAAGAGTGGTATGGTCAAAGTGTAGTTTTTGTTTGTTTTTTGTTTCCTGCAACAGAACCTTCTGCAAACAGATTACCAAAGACTCTGGATACAGAACTATGAGAAGCAGCGTGAGGCAGCTGTGCGTACGCCACACTGCATCACTGAGTGGATGCACAAAGTCCCTGGCACTACAATCCCACTAACATAAATCCCACACTTAGCTTTACATGATGAACTTCGAGGCGGCAGATGAGGAAGCTGAAGACTGAGTGCCTGGATTTCCAACCTTCAGTTCATAGCCTCGCTTCCTCTGGCCTTGGCCGCCAGCCCCAAACCAAAACTACACTTCCAGATACCCCCTCCTGGACAGAGAATGGAAGGGCTCTGCCACGGAACCACAGGAAGACAGAAGTAGTGAGACACGCAACCACCGTTCTTACCTCAGACAGTTCTGGAACAGATGGCTCCTGGAGGTGCTTCGAGGCGAAATACCCCTGTCATTAAGCAATGCAGGTCTGCACACCTAAAGGCAAGTTTTTGCTAGGAAACTTTGAAACTATAGGGATTGTTTTTCTTTACAAATACTTTTAACCAGTTAAGACCTATGAATTTCATAAACCAATTTAAGCAACTGTTTATATCAGAATGGTATTTTCTTCACAAAAAGGGAATTGCCCCTCCTTCCAGTATGCGCTTCAATTCTTATTTGATAACATGCTTAGTAAGACTTTTAAGAACCAGGGCTAATGAATCTAGAAGTCAGAAATACTCTTAGTTAATTTCCAGAACAGCTTTCAAGCATTCTGTTGTATTTTATTATTTAGACAAAATCAGAAGTTTAGGATGTTTTGGCTTCTTGAACAAAACACACTGCAATCCCAAAGGCAGCAAATATATGTGGAAGAAAACTGCTCTGCCCTTATGAAGAGGATCTTCCTCATCTCACACATTACTTCTAGATACGCTGCTAACATCTGTTCCCAGAAGGCCCCTGGACAAGTCAGAATACCCTCATTTCATAGCTTAGTGAGCAGCAGAAAAGCAATGTTCACACAGTCCTGCAGTTTAGGTGGATCTGTTGTTATCTAGAATACAGGCTTGAACTTTGCAAAATTCTTCTGCTTTCCAAAAAGCAGAAGAATTTAAAACAGAGGTACCAGAACTCAAGACAGTATGTGAGACAACAAACAAAACCTTTCCAGTTCTAACCAAACTGTAACCCTTTCAGTATAGCTTGAGGTATTTTAAATTATTTTAGAAGCTTAAATAGTATTCACAGTTTCCAAAGTTGCTTTTTGATGAGATAGCTTCAAATCTTCACAATATTTGACTTTCAGACATGTTTTCCTGTAACAGAGCCTCTTCCCTCAGACTCTTGGGAATATCAGACAGCTACTTGGTGCAAGAAAACGGTTCTTGTAGTAATAAAAGTTCTATTTCCCAATTGTGCTATTCCAAGTGTATGATTAAAAAAATAAGAAATTTGTAATTCATATAAAATGAAAACTTGCTTAAAATTCAAAAGCAAGTCCAGTCTGGTGGAGGTATGCAAGACGTTAAATAACGGAGTCAGCTTCTTTCTTGAAGATTTCAGACGGGTTTGAAAGCAGCGAGTTCTGGTTCCCCAGCATCTTCTCCATCTTTTCTCCTTCAGTGGTTTTCTGGATCTCTCTCTGCTTCTTACTATGGATCCACGGGATAAAACAGAGTACAGCACCACCAATAAGGGGAGGGACTCCAGCGAGGTAGAATGCCACGTTATAGGAGCCCAGCTTGTCACGAAGTAACCCTGGGAAGGGAGAAAACTGTCACGAGAGAGAACAAGTGTGTCTCTTAGGGCCTCAGGTCAGTTACACTGATGGCTTAGGGCCAGGGTCATAACTTTCCTGCAAGAGGCCTAATGCAAACGTCGCACAATCAGCTTTTCTCCTTTGCTGCTTTAATTAGTGCACACTGGTTATACAGATAAATGGGTTTCATTTTAGCAAATTTGCACACGGATGTAACATCCTCTAATCATCCCCCTCCTCACTCTCCTTGCCCTACCCTTCCCCTTAGTTTCACATGGGGGTGGGGTGTAATTTATTTTGATTATACTCATGCCCCTAACACCCACCCTAATACTCTCTCACTTCCTCTTTTCTAATAATAATCCTGCTTCTACTTTCTTCTCTTTAAGATTCCACATATGAGGGAGAACATGTGACATCTGTGTGTGTCTAGGCTTATATCACTCAACATTATGATTTCCAGATCCCTCCCATTTTTCTGCAAATGACAAAATTTCATTCTTTTTTATGGCTGAGTAATATTCCATTGTACATATGTTACTGTTGATACATGTGTCAACTTGAGAGTCTAGAAGCTTAACGAAGTAACTCAGCAGTTCTACATCCTGGAGTGAAAAGGACATGTCCTTACTGCTCTGGGATGCTGTTCATTGCGTCAACTTGAGAAGTTTAGAGGGTTAACTAAATGACTGGGCAGGGGCCCAGGGGCCTTTGTATTCATCCTGAGCCTGTGCAAGAGGAGGGCATGATTATGTGAGCACTACACGCCTGCTGGCGGGGGGCAACCTGCTTACAACATAAGGGAGGAAAAGAGGCTTGTTTTCACCTTTTGCTCCTGCTGCTTTTGCTGTCTTCGGCCCCTCTGCCATGCCCCCCCTGCCTTGGAGCCAGCTGATTATAGACTAAAACCTCCACAGACTGTAAACTAAATAAACCTTTCCTTCCTTAATTTTGGACATTGGGTATTTTGTCTCAGCAATGAGAGAAAAGTGACCAAGACAGCATATACGCTACATTTCCTTTAACCACTCATTTATTGTGGGCACTTAGGCAGGTTCCATATCTTAGCTATTGCATATTGGGCTCTAATAAATATGAGTATGCAGATATTCCTATAGTGCGCTGAGTTTAATTCCTTCAGATACATCAGACATTTTAAGAAAATATGTAAAATATTAATCTCCTCTGATATGAGGAAGGAAAAGATCTCCTATCTTTAATTTTGTCTCAGAGTACTAGCCTTTTAGTTTTTATACTGGGAAAAAATATTTGCAACTATACTTTGGCTTTGTTAAAATCCCTTAGAGGCCACTTGGATATTCAGCCGTGTGGGGCAGACAGTGCTCCAATCAGCTGAAGGTAGACCCCGCATCCAGCTGAAACTTGTCTCAAATGTCTACCTTTCAACCTGATCTTGGGTGTATGTGTTTTCATAAATAATATGAAACTGCTAGGCATCGTGGCACATACTTGTAATCCCAGCTTCACAGGAGGCTAAGACAGGAAGATGGTAAGTTTGAGACCAGCCTGGGCATTTAGCGAGACCCTGTCTCAAAAACATACGGGTTGGAGATGTAGCTCAGTGTGAAAGCCCTGGAATTCAACTCCTACTGCATGTGTGCGTGTGCGTGCGTGTGTGGTGAGAGGTGGAGAGGGAGGGAGGGAGAGGTGGAGGGAGAGAGATCCAAAAGCAAGAAAAATTATAAATTAACATCAGGATGAAAAAGATTGTTACATTTTGGAAAGATACCAAGGCTTGTCACTCCTTGGGAAGAAAATACGAGAACGTATGTTTGCCACTCTATTAGATCCTTGGGCTTTGCTTCTGAGTATTATTTAGAGTACTTTTTCTTCTAATTTCCCTATCAAAATCTGGGCCTCAGGATTTTAAACATTCTCTTAAGAGTTTTTAAACTTTTACCATACAACCTCAGTTACCTGAAATTTTCAAGGAACGTACTGTATTGAGTATTGATCTGACTTCGAGCTTTAAAAATAAATGGATTTTTTCACTTAAGTACCAATAGATACAAATGAATGTGTATTCTCATTCTGGATATAATATCTCTAAACATACAGTTTTCCTATCTTCTGAGTCAGAATGTTCCATATGTAATTGAAGCTTTCATCCCTATGAGCATTAATTAATCAGGTTTTGCTATAATACTATGCTGCCCTCAGGACCTGCTGGTGAGCTAGGCCTACAAAGGTTTTCTGCTGTAGTGGTCGTATGTTATTCTGGCCACTTCTGAAGTTTCCTGCTATCCCATTGTTCTTGGTCTGTTAGCAACACCCTTCCTACTAAAGTGCGTATAAGTTGCTGTCGATCTGAAAACCCTGAAACTCAGCTTGAAGGGTATAAAAAATAAGAATGAATAGTATATTACCCTAGGGAAAGAGGAAGGGATAGAAGATTTTCCCACAGAGAAACTGTCCCCTTTAGAACTTCAACTCTATTTGGTCTGCTCAGCAGTAACTCTGCTTGCTTGATTCATGACTGGGATATAGTTGTAGATTACAAAAATGAAGTAAGGTGAACTTTCACTGAGCCCATAGTGTTAGACACCAATAATGGTACATACATTTACAGTTTATCATACTTGTTAGGCAAGTGTGGTGGTAATTCTAGCACTCTGGGAAGTTGAGGCAGGGGGATCACAAATTCAAGCCTACCCTAGGCAATTTAGTGATCTAGATAGCACTTGTCTCAAAATTCAAATAAAAACAGGCTAGGGATCTAGCTCATTGTGAAGGCCCTGGCTTCAATCCTCAGTACCACCCCCATATTAATAAAAAATAAAATTTTTGAAAATCACATTTGTATTGAATGTTATACTGATTTACACTGACACTCAACAATATTGAACATGAGATGTCTTTATATAAAGGAGATATTCAAGAGATTTCTAAAGGTAAAATTCACATAAAATTAACCAGTCTAGAGGCATTTAGTAAATGTACAATGACGAGTAACCATTACCAGTTCCAAAATATTTCCATCATGCCAAAAAGAATCTGCCTCCATTAAGTAATTATTCCCCAATCCTCTTTCCCTACAGCCCCGGGCAACAACCAATCTATTTTCTGCCTCTGTGGATTTACTTATTTTGGACATTTCACATAAATGGAAGCATGCACCATATGATCTTTTATAATTGACTTTTTTCACCTAGCTATCTGGTATCATGTACCAGTATAGACTTCAATTGTCTTTGTGACTCAATAATATCCCATTACACAGATATGTCACGGTTTTTTTTTTCCCATTCATCCACTGATAAACAATTGAGTTGTTTCTACTAAATGTTATTTTTCATCAAATATTCCTCAGGGGGATATGATCTCTTTCATAAAGCAATCTCTCAGAATCGTCATTTTTTAAAAGACCATGTTCCTATTTCTCTAACAAGTCTAAAGCATATAATGATTGAAATATAGGAATTGTGAAAAGCTTAGAGGCTGGGGTTATCAGTAGAACTGATGCTTAGCATGCTCCAGGTCCTGGGTTCAACCCTTGCTGCTCCCCCAAAAAAACTCACGGTAATATTTTGCTGGCGATATTGTTCCGTGGTAGAGTGCTTACCATACCTACTATGGGCAAGGCCCTCAGTTCAGTCCCAGCAACATGAATAATTGAAAGTTTAACTCCTAGATGCTGTGATAAATTTTGTTTAAATGCTACCTAAGGAAAAGAGAGATTCCCTGAAAATCTTTTTCAAAATATTATTTATAGTTAGTCTTATTAAAAATGTAAGAGATAAGGCGCACACACACACACAAAAAGGATCAGTAATCAATAAATTATATTTTATATGAGAATATGGCTTAGGACCTGAAATCGAAATTAATGTAACTACTATTGAATCATCACATTTACCTGCAACTGGTGGGCCGACAGTCATGGGTATAGACATGAGTCCGAGCAGAAATCCAATTGCTTGGGAAACATCCTGGGCCCCAACTAACGCAAAGGCAATAGGGGCCATGATAGAAATGAAGCATCCATCAAACAGACCCATGATGAGACAGACAGCAATAAGGGCCCCAAAGACCTTGCACAGCGGTATCATCATGGACATCAGACCAATGAAGAAAAATGACAGTACCTAGGACAGACAACCACATGTCAACTTTGCTTCAGGAAAAGTGACTTCTAAGTAGTGCCTGCTTATATCTCCCTTCCCCTTAATTTTATATAAAAAACTAATTCTTTTGAAATTTCCCTTTTATTTTCTTTATATTTTCATTAAGAGACAAGAAGAAAGCAACTATTTATACACTTACTTTCCTTCCCAGCCTGCAAACTCTTTGAGGTCAGAGTCTGTAAAAGTCTTTGGATTACATGCAAAGTCATTCATTAAACACTTCATTTTTTAAAAGCTTTAAAATGATTACATTTTATTGAAATGTTATATGTTATAGATATATTTAAGTCTACATATTTAAAATGTTATAGACATATTTAAGCACCCCAGAGATAAGGTCCAGAACATTTATTTTGAGCCATTCAAAATTTTTACCTTAGTGTTAATAGACTTAAACATCTAATTAATAGTCTATGTTAATAGACTCAAACATCTAATTTAACCTGTTCGTTAGACATTGTACTATGTGCTAGAAATTTCCACAATGACTAAGATTCAGCTCTTCCCCTTGGGTTATGGAGAAACAGACATTTAAGTAAATATAAGTGCAGAATGAAATGCTCTAGATAGTTTTATTCAAAATATAGTATATAGTTTTATTCAAAAATATAGCCATAGTTTTATTCAAAACATAGTAGCTACAATAAAAGGAGAGAATAGACAATTTATTAACTAGGCAGAGAACTACTTGAAACTGTGCCTTTTTATTCAATAATTGGCAGAAGTTTTAAAAAGCATCAGGTTTTCCTAAATGTATATGCCTATCATAGCAACTGTAATTTATTTGGTTTTTCTAAGTTCCAGCCATTATTCGAATCACTTGGATTATCACTAGCAAGTCTTATGAAAACTGTATGCCATCCCCATTTTACAGATGAAGATACTGATGCTGGGAGAAGATAAGTAATATGCCCAGAGTGCACAGGACGGAGCAGGCCTGGAGTCTATGGTCCGTGTGGGCACTGGTAGGGAGCAGACAGAACTGTCTCAAGAAAGTGCCCCCCCATGACAATGGGGCTTGGGAGAAGGGGTGAGGCCAGCTTAAGCAGCTATCCAGATCCCAGTCCCGTCTCTGTTTTCCCTAGGTCCTACTGTGGGATACCAAGCTTGGCTGCATGCGTCAGGGCAGCTCCTCAAAACCTGGAAACACTGAAGACGCAGCTGGAACTTTACCACAGTGCCCACAGATAGATACCACAGTAAACGCTCTTGGAAAATGTGTAAGTCTAGGTCAATTCTCTTTTTGATACCGTACTATATAGCTGAGTGTATTTTTTATTACTAAAGTATAGCATTACAGTAAAATTATGACTGGTTTTAGAATCTACATTGGTTACTTCAAAAATAAAGCCTGGTACATCACAGTAGCATTTCCAAAGAACAGGATCTCATCATCCTGATTTCATTTTCTAATAAAATATCCTTCTCTCTAATCATCCTGCTATGAAAGCACAGTTTCTCGGCAGTGAGTAATTATTGGGCTTATAGCCTAGCACTGGAAGGAGCCAGGACTCAGAGAAAAGAGACCAGGTTCCACCTCCCTGTGACCTTAAGTAAGCAGGAAGATTTGATATGTTTCTTTTTGATGCAAAAAGAGATCTGAAGATAAAACATAGAAATCCAGTTGAAATTAGCAAGCATATAAAGCCTAAAGGAGTTATATTTATTGAAAAAATTAACTAGAAAAATTCCAATACTCTTAGCTACACATACATTTGTATTCTGTCTACCAATTTAAAAGGAAATAAACATGGAAAATCTTAGAACATCATAGAACCAAACTCAGTGGATTTAATTGGTAAAATCAAAGGCCAACAATTTCCAACCATACTACTATGATTATGCTGTGTGAACTTTAAAGAAAAACAATGCATTTTTCATTTAAATGTGTTATATATTCCTTTCCTACTGTGTCTACTATTTCTTTCAGGGTAACAGAAACAGCTCTGCGCAATTTTACACTTGGTCATGGTGAAAGCCTCATATATAGAACTTGGAGCAGAGTCCATTTTGCTTCACAATAAATGTTTTTATGGAACAAGACATCCAAGTGCTTTACTTTTGGTAGTTTTCCTAATTTGTCTAATCCATTTTTGGTCCCTTGAACATCTTGTTCTTTGGTCAATTTTATAAAAGTCATTCATCTGGGAGTTTCAAATATATTTTGGACATACTACTTCTTAATTCTTTACCTTTTCTCAATTTAAACTACATTAATTTGTATCATCTTTAAAAAGTTTTGACAATGACTAACTTGTCACTTAAATGTAAATCTTATGAACTGAGTTTATAGAAACGCATGTATTTATTCTTTAAGCATTTCTCTAAACACTAACTGGTCTGTGTATTTGTAGCTCTAGTGGTGAGGAAAGATGCTCCTTCTGCGCAGCTGTTGCTACCCAACATGTAGCCACGTGGGTGAGACTAAGCCGGTGAGGAGTGAATACCTCTTCCTCGTATGCAGGGACCAGGGACACCTGCGCCACAAGATTTAACAAGCTGTCCATACAGGAGGCTCATACTTCCTTATCACTTCATAAAATAAATATTGATTCATAAATCAAATATTGATCTGTAGATACTTGGACCCAGGTTGAAAGAGGCATAAATTTTGCATTACATGTGACCAACCCCCAACCCCTACCCCCGGCACAGCAGCTCAGCTTAGATTTAAATAAAGGATTCAGAAGCCTCTAATTCCATTCTAGGTTATGGCACTAGCATTTAGTAATGATATGGCAACAGTTTGATTTTTACACTGCTTTTGTTTTCTTAAAACCATGCAAGGAAATATTCCGCATCACAATATCAAAGCTCTAGAACAGCGATGGCAAACCTTTTCGAGCTTTCAATGATACAAACAGCCAGCTGTGTATGGCGTAGGTTCACAGCCACTGCTCTAGAACGAGCCCTCCTTGAATTGATTAACATATCAAAGAACTTTTTTTCCTCATACATTTCCAATTTCTAGTACAAAGAGAGCATTCTTGAAGAAGTATCAGTGTACATTTTCCTCAGGAATCCAAGTATAGCTCAAAAGCAAAAATGAGCTACACCTGAATAAGCAGAAGGCATTTCTGGAGACAGGCGCATAATTGGGCAGAGTCCAATTCACGTGTTGTTCCTAACATGTTTACTCAGTATCAAGTTTCCAGACTTTCAGAGGCTCGAGTCAGGCGCCCTGGCAGAGAGTGGCTGGCAGCAGAGCCTCTCACTACCCAAAGAGAAATGTCCAGGCGGCAGCTGCTTCGGAAGCACATGGAGGCCGCAGCACTTGCACAATGCCACACAGAGAGCCGGCCGGACTCCCACACAGATGCGCAAGCGCCTGGGTTTCTGCCTGGAGAGGAACTGGCACTGGTGCCAGAATCCAGACGAGACTGGGAGGCCCTTCCGTACTCAGGCTGGGAACAGTTGAGTATTTGGATGCTACTTTAGAAACTGCTTACACAGGTAAAGTCTCTGCTCCCATGCCACAGTACACTCAGAGAAATGCTAAAATGGAGTGGAATTCACAGTGAGGCACAGTGACTGGTCTACCCCAATAGAAGGGGAAGCTGACACAGGAAGACGGGCAAAGAAGTCACTAGTTTTTCTAAATTACAAGTGTAACGTAACTCATGATTATATTGTTTGAAGCTTCAAACCTTACAGAAATGCACACAGGAATGTATGGCAGGTTTTCTTCACCTGCTCCCACCTGTGCGTCAGCATGCTCCACCAGGTGTCACAAACACTGCTCTAAATTTGGATGCAATATATTAGATAAGCTCTAAAAGAAGCTGTGTGTGGCTAACCTTTCGTCTGACATGAAGCATGCGACCCATGATCCTGACTTAATCTCACTGCTGTATCACTGCACACCAAACATGGGAGAAGTTAGACATTTTCTTATAAATTACTTAAAGTAGTAAAGTATTAAAATATGCCCTCCAAATGTTTCTCCCATCAGTACGAGGAAAACTCTTTCAAAAACTGTTTTGGAGTTGGGTGTGGTAGCAGATACCTGTACTCCCAGTGCTCAGAAGGCTGAGGCAGGAAGAGTGCAAGTTTGAAATCAACCTGAGCAACTGAGCAAGACCCTGTCTCAAAATAAAACTAAATAAAATTTGCAGAGTATGGTGGTACATGCCTGTAATTCCAGCACTCTGGAAAGCTGAGACAAGGAGATTTTAAATTTGAGCTGAGCCTGGGCAATTTAATAACTTAAGAGAGATGCTGTATTGAAATAAAATTAAGAAAGGAAAAATGGGTATATATGCAGTTCGGTGCAAAGGATCTGGGTTTACTCCCTAGCACTGCACTGCCAAAGAAAAAGGCAGAGGGGAAAGGAGAGGGAGAAGGAAGGGAAGGGGAGGGGAGGGGCAGAGGGGGAAGGAAGAAGGAAAATGTAGCTCAGCCCTAGAGTACTTGTCAAGCATGTGCAAAGCCCTGGGTTTCACCACCAGTACTGCCAAAAACCTGCCACACCTGCATTCGCTGTAGTAGGTCTCCATCATCCCTCACCGGCTCCCATCATCTGCCTGTTCTTCCTCTCCTGCATTCTTGCCTCCCTATAGCCCGTCCTCTACACGCAGAGCAACTACGGTGACACTAAAATGTAAAAGCAGACCAACGTTCTCCAATAAAGGCCCCTGAACTTAAATATAATCCCCTCCTCTCGCCTCTCAAGGCCTGGATAGCTGGCCCTCCCAGCTTTTCAGCCTCTTCGATGCCAGTTGCCCTGTCCTGTCCCAAAGACACCCACTTTTCTCCTTTCTTAGTCTTGTTCCAGAAGCTCAGGAACCACGTCTGTCCTGTGTGTCTAACTGCAGGCACAAGTGGCCTTTTGAGCAAATAAAGCTAGAAGTCTATAATACAACAAATATTCTCTAGAGGACTGTCTTGACACTGAAGAACAAGACTAAATGACTAAAATAAACATGGATATCCATAATGAGGTATTGATAAAGGGGGAGGTGATCATCATACAATAATACATACAGTTTTACAAAGTAGCACCCAAACACGTGAGGCCCTGGGTTCAATCCCTGCTGGTACCACCACCACCACACTACCAGCGGCCTACACTTCTGCTGTGTGACCAGGCTCTTTCACTATCTGCCTGGACCTACAGAAACTGACTCTCCGTAAGGCAGCTTCTCTGCTGTTTGGTGTTCACATGTGTAAGTGGAAATAAGGACAACTGCTTCCTTGAAGGGCTGGGAGCAAGATTAAAGAGAAAACTTATGTAGAGCACTTACTTTATCACCTGGCATGTGAAGTGCTCAACAAATGGTAGCTTTATTGTAGTCTGTGTGTAGAAGTTACTTATCTATAATAAATGCCTCTTCCAATCACTTTCCTGTTCTCAAATTTTGCCTCTTTTCAGGGTACTGTTCAAATCCTGCCTTTCCTCTATAACGTTCAGTGGACACGCTTAATCCCTGAATCCCAAGTCCTCCTTTCGGCTCTTCCTCCCTTCCCCTCCAACAGCCAAGCTTTGGATATGGGTGTCAGTCTTTCCATTTATTCCCATGATCATGATCAGTCTTCTGCACCTGCCATCCACTGAAGCACCCCTCCATAGGGCACTAATGGCTTCTCGGTTGCTCAATCCAGTGAAGACCCTTTAGGCTCCTCCTCACTAGCCACAGGTACCGCTGGCCACTCCTGCCCCTGCAAATATCCACTCCCTAGTTTTTCCCACCAAGCAGGTCCCTGGCCCTCCGTCTACCCAGTACAGACCACGAATGCTGAAGTCTCGCAGGTCTCTTCTCTAGACTCTCCCATAAGCTCCAAACGCAACCTTACTTTTTTTTGTGAGCACCACACATTTAACATGGCAAAAAATGAGATCATCCTATGCGGATTTACTGAATCGCTGATCCCTTAAACACAGCAAAGCCATCTACTTTGTTACCCAAGCCACCAACCTCAGGCCCAGTTTAAATGGCTCCATCAGACACTCATTTTCTGTAGTTCAGGCTTCCTGTCTGACCCCAGCATCTCTGGTTCTTCCTGTGTAGTCTGCTTCAGCAGTCGCGAGCCCCGTGCTGTGCCCCATTTTTTAGTAAAAGCTTTCAGATGTAATTCCCGAACTGTAAGTGTGCCAGTCAGTGCTTTTTAAAGGCTCCATTCACAATGCTGCACAACCACCATCACTAATATTGTCATCGCCAGAAAAGAAACCCCATACACAGTAGCAGTTACCACTCTCTCCTTCCCTCCAGCCCGACAACCACCAACCCAGCTTCTGTCTCTCCAGATCTGCCCATTTGTGGACATTGAAATAAATCCAGTATGTGACCCTTAGTGACTACTTCAACTCCCCGCCCCACTCCGTTCTATTCTTTCACAGTTACCATATTGGTTTCTATAAAATACAACTCACACCACTCCCTTGCTTAAAATCCTTGAATGCTTTTGTCAGATTGCAAAATAAATTTAACCCTTTTTATGCACACAAAGGCCATTTCCAACCTGGCCCTTTGCCAGGTCAGTCCATCTGCCTTTCCTCCTTTATTCCATTCAAACACTGTCTCCCAGACACACACGCTGTGTCTGCCTCCAACTCCTTGCTCATGTGGTTTCTGTTGCCCGGAATACCTTTCTACATAACTACTGCCCACCTTTTTAATTTTTAAAGAATCTTTTATTGGTGGTGCTGGGGACTGAACTTGGGACCTCGTGCATGCTAAGCAAATTCTCTACCACTAGGCTGCATCCCCAGCCCTTTAACTACTACTTAACCTTATAATCCTGCTCAGACCCTATTGTAGTTCAGTTTCCCACAGCACCCATCTAGCATGCTCATCATTTCACTGTGCAGCAACACCGTTTTATCTGTCTCCGCAGGAGACCTTTAGCTGCGAGCTAAGGATCACAGGACTACCTTCCTTTAACTCCGCAGCATCTAGCAGTGTCCGCCAGGAGGGAGTCACTGCAATACCTGCTGACTGTGGATAATGATCTTGGAATTTGCAGTCTGTTTATGCATACCTCCTAACACCCAGCAGGCAATTTGTAATAAGCTCAAAAGTCACATATGCACACTCAAATTTCCCAAGATACAGCAAAGGGCACTGGATGTGCATGTGACTATAAGAGCAATGTCAAAAATAAAGAATCCTTCTTGGAAAAAAGCAACGGGCAAAATAATTTTGGTTTGGTGGAGTTCTTTGATAAAAGAAAGATTGTTGTTTGCCGATTTCTCATGTTTAAAACTCAAACTCGTAACTGATTTTATCCTTGAGAAGCTGCCTGTAGAAATTATGTTACAGAAAGTATTTTTCATTTTTATAGAAGAATTTAAACATATCAGAACATTACTGAGCCCTGAGAGAGTAAGAATACATTTGTAGGGGAAGTAGAAGAAAGTACCTGTAGATAAACCTTCTTCACACCAGGCACATAATCTGCAATCCGGCCGAAGAGAAGCCGTCCAACTCCAGAAGTGATACCAATGCTCATGAGAACCACCTCTTTATTTTCTTCTCCTTGAAATGTTTCATTCACATGTTTTATCTGTAGACCAAAGAAAAGGAAATCACCTCAATTATGATAGGAAAACTTGACAAGTTTTGAGGTTTTGCATCAAATGCTTGTTTCTCTACAGTGTTAGGGGCTCTCACCTCTCTCAAAATATTTCTTGTATGATAATTTCTTAGGAGAACATGTGAAGAATATCTAACATGATTCAGCTTGCATAATAAGAAATGAATTCTTGTGAGAATTTTTTTTAGGTAAAGTGTTACCAGCACACATTATAACACTGAACTATCCACCAAAGGAAGAGAATAGAACTTTGAATGTACCACATATCTTAATACATTAGTTTTCTCAAGGTTACCCAAGGACCAAGCATATTATCTGCCAAACATATTTAACTGAAAGGCAGTTAACACATTATTTCTGGAGTTTTACTTCTGCTAGGGAGACACAAGCCAAATTGATGCCCCTGAAATAAATTATAGCACAGCTTCCAGGATGAGAGTATAAGGTTCCCTAGTTGTTCATTTGTGTACCACTAGAACAGCTAAAGATACAGGAATGGTTTCACATACTGGATAAAGGATTTAGGCCTTGGAGAGTCAAGCTGCTTGGGTTCAAGTCCTGCTTCCATTCCTTACCAGCCCTGTAACCTTGGGTAAGTTCTTAAACCTCGCTTTCCTTGTCTGTAAGGTGAAAATAGCAGTAGCACCTACAAAGCATGGTTGTGAGGATTAAGTAGACTTTCCAGGTGAAGAACTTAGGGAGCTGAGGGTGTAGCTCAGTGGCACAACACTGCTTAGCAGCCGCGAGCCCCAGGTGGACCCTCAGCACTACAAAGGGAAAAAGAGTGCCTGGTGTACACTTAATGAACAGATACTCAGTTTAGCTCCTCACCACTTTTTAAAAGGACCTTTCAGGGTCCAGCTGCTCTAGATATGGAAGGTGGAAGTGAGAGGTCAACGGCCCCTCTCCCTCCATTTATTGCGAACATGCTGGGCTACAGATCAAGAAGATATTTTGAGAAGATATTTTGTTTGACTTTCCCCTAACGCCCCTAGCATTCACTGTCCCTTACACCAAACTCTGGTTTGAGTAATGGAAATCTGCAAATTTCCCTTCAAATTCAGTGGCCCATACAGTTCCAATGTGGCAATGCTGGGCTTTCTGTATGCCATCTCCCTCCCTAAGACACTTCCATTTTGTGGGGTATTTTTCCTCCACTTCACATTTTTTAAAGGAGATTTTAATTTGGCTCACAACCATATTATATACTTAAAGCCCATTTGTATGTCCCACATCATCTCATTTCTTTCTTCCCTTTCAAAACTGGTAACAGTTCTGTCAAACTTCTCTGTTTTCATACTGGTACAGAATAATCCTCTTAAGTATGGCTTTAATCGCATCAATCCCTTATTCAAAGGCTGCCCACTGCCTGCAGTTTACACTCCTTAGTTTGGTATTCAAAACCCTCTTTAATCTGTTGTTAATCTATCTTTTTATCTTTATTACCTACTGATCCTTAGCTCAGAGGAAGAAAATTCAAATGTCTACAGGGCCAGGCAAATAATATAAATATGAGAAAATGGATACACTTCAGTCGTTATTACTACCAATGTTGCCAAGTCTACCTCTCAGCCCCTTCCATGTTGTGGGGGGACCAGAAAAATCTGGATTTTCTGTGGAAATGTTGACACCCAACTCAAATCTGGAACACTCTGTGATCCTGTCCTACAATAGCCAAACAAAACAAGTCTGCAAGCTGCATTAGGCCAGCTTTGATCTTAGCTCTAATCCCATCTGGCTCAGCAGGACAGGTTTACTCGTGGTGTCCCTCAAGCATGCTAATGTTCAGTAGTCTCTTCTACCCTTCCAACTCCCTCACTTTTGCTACTGCCTACAGTTACCACTGAGAACCCTGAGTACTGTGTGTTTCTGCCCAGCCTCCTCAGCTTCTCACTGTATCCGTTCTTTTGCATAAACTCTTCGAGGTTGAACTAGACCTTGTCCACCCACCTGTTTCAAAGGCACCTCAAAGTCACCATGCCCGGTGTTGAGCTCGCATTTCCTTCACAACTTGCCCTCCCCTCACTTCAGTTAACACTGCTATTACTGGCAGCCCTCGTGAGGTTGAAGCAAGGAGAGGTAAGGCAGGATGACTGTAAGTCCAAGACCAGCCTGGGCTACGAAGTTAGGTCCAATCTCAAAATCATAAAACAAACCCAAAGAGTCAAATAAAAACCACTAACTTGTTTCTTTTTACCATTTTTTCTTTTTTTTTTAATGTGACTACAAGTTAATTTCAAAGTACAACAGAAACTGGGAATGGCTGCAAATGCCTATAATCCCAGCTACTGGGGAGCCTGAAGCAGAAGGATCACAAGTTTGAGCCCAGCCCAGGGAACTTAGCAAGACTTCATCTCAAAAAAAAAAAAATATTTTAAAGGATTGGGGATTTGACTTAGTGTGAAGGGAGGCAAGAGGATCAAAAGTTTGAGTTCTGCCTATCTCAAAATTAAAAAGGTCTGAAATGTAGTTCTGTGGTGAAGAGCCCCAAGTTTGAGCCCTAATACTGGGGGAAAAAAAAGGTACAATGTGACTTGCATTGTGTTTTTTAAAGAAATTAATTTGTGGCTGCTAGAGTAATAATAATGAGAGAGACCTTCAACTTGCAGACAGAGTTGATTCTTGCAATGACCACATCTAAGACTGGCATGATGTTAAGTGTACTCCCTGGCTTCACTGAGAATATGAATACTGTAATGCATCAATTCACTGTAAGGAGCACCAAAAGTATCAACAGTATTACAGCTTTCTCTTTCTCTCTTTGTGATGCTGCTGGGGATCGAACCCCAGGCCTCAGGCATGCCAAGGTCAGTACTCTACAACAGAGCTCCATGTCCAGCCTATAACTCTGAAAGAGATATTCTTTAAATATCCACAGAAGACTGAATTTCCTAGTCATTCTTTCAAGGACACTGAATACATGTCCGCCAAATTACTATTATTCTCCCTAAGTGGTTTATTTGTGACTCCCATCCCCTCTACTTTGTAATGTTTAAAAGAAATAATACGGTGAAGTATTTGGTAACTTTTGTAAGAGGGTAAATTAGGTAAATTCAAATTATGCTTAAGTGGAAGTGTGATTTCTCAAGTATAAAGGACATCATTTCAGCAGATGTTATTATTATTGTCATGCACGTTTAAATAAAGCAAACTTCTAAAACTCCCCTCTTCACCCCCTCACTAAAATCTGCAAACTAAGTTTCCTGGGTCAGGAAATGAGGGAATCTGGGGGACAGCAGACCCTGCAGACTCTGGGTCTGTGTCCTTGAGATCTTTTCTCACTGGAAGACCAGTCCTCAAGAGGTCTGATGGGCTCCACTTGAGACCTGGGCCTCTCAGGACAGCTGCTGTGTGTTTTATGCATTTCTGCCCCTCTTGCATCCTCTGGAGATTGGCATGCACTCTTTTTAGCAGAAAGCTTAACACGGGGCAAGAGCGGTATTTTTAATGAAGAGTCACATGAGTAGAGGCATGAAAATGTTGAACAGATATTTTCATACTTAACCTATTTGTAAAACCAATACAAAGCCTATAATAGAATCTATGATCTATGCAAATATATTGTTGAAGGTTAACTTTATCAAGAGTGTAGCCCAGTAGCAGAGTAGGTACTTAGTATCCTCAAGACCCTGGGTTCATCCCTAGTTCCAATAAATAAAGTTAACTTTAGACTTTACTTGAATGCATAAGCGTCCTTGGGTGGGGAACTAGTCTTTTATGTTCTCAAAGATGTGTTTAATCCGGGCATGAATACCTCTAGATTAACAAAGTCTTGCTGACTGACATCTTAAACACCTGCTCCTGAAACATTTTGCCCTCATTCAAGCAACAACAGCTTCTGCTGACCAGAGGCCATTTTTAGATTGTATGCAACTTCACTGTTTTGTTATCCAATGATGATCAAGAAGAAAACAACCACATCCGAGAATACGGGCTCATTCTCTATCCATGAGTGAAAGGATAAACTAGTTCTACTTCTCCTTCCTCCAACCATCTCCAACTCTGTAGAGAAGACATTTTCTGACCAGCCAACTAAAGGCAAGTTCCTCTCCCCTCAGTACAGCCCCAAAGCGGATCTCCTTTTTGAGAGGTCAGGAGCAGCACCCCATGGAAGCAAGCATTGCACTAGAACGGCCTCTGCCCTGGTTCCGTTCCTCCCCTCGTCAGTGTAGTAAAACCCAGTGGTGATACATGTGCAAAGTGAACACTGGTCAAAAAGCTGGGAATGTTTGCTGCTGCACTGTAGTTTAAGGCTTCATTATTTAGCTGTGCCACGATAGTCACTTGCATCGTACTCACCACCCTCAAACTCCTACTTGAGGGGTAAGTGCTTTTTGCTTAATGTCTTTCATATAATATAATTTATTGCAGGAGAAATATAATAAAACTTTAATGTATCTAAGGTAGAGTATCTTTGGAGAACAGTAATTAAAGAAGAAACACAAGTACTGGACCCCCTTAACACAAAAATAACTTGCTGTCTGACAGCAGAGCAAAAAGACTGCTGACTGATAATAAAGAGAGGACTGCAAGGCTACAAAAGCAGGGTGAAAGTAGGTCAAATGGAGTATTGCAGACTGTGTGAGTAAAAGATTTGTCTTTGCAGGACTGAGCAAAATGACAGAAGCAAAATATCTATAATTTTTATCATTCACTGCTGCAGTGAACAACACTTTCTGGAAGGTGACAAAGAGTTCGGTCACGAGATGTCATCTGTCTTTTGTGATTTTGATTCCCTTATCATCTGGTAAGTCTTCCTCTTCAGCTATATATCATCAAACTGGACAGGGGGTGGATGACAGTCAGGCATGTGCAATCACTTCACCTCTAGGGAAATAAACTCTTGGTGGTAGAGAGGGGAGCTGTGTCTTTTAAGTTTACTGGTTCATTAACAAATGTACTAATAAATGCTACATGATATTTCCAGTGATTGAATTCAAACTGATTTCTTCAACTTCATACTTTCCAAT